TTCATTCTGAATCAGATGCGGTGACTCTGATTGACAACACTGTAAAAGCTCGAAAGGACCGGAATGCAGTGGGCATTCAATCTGTTCTCTGGACTGGCAAAGTTCAGTTATTTATCTGAAATGTTTGAATCTTGACTGTTTTTTTCTAAAAAACAAGTCTGTGGAAGAACGTTTTGGTTCAGTCTTATAATGACTACAGGCACAGTCAGCACAGCACACTGCGGTAACTGGCCCAACACACAAACCTTCAACAAGGAATTGCAGAACCAAATGACTAATCCCTGCTGCTCCAGCTTGATCACGACAGGCAGGATTAAAGTTGGTGCTCTCATTGTCCTTGTGTGCTTAGTAATGTACAAAGTGTTTCGTGTATGAAGCTACCACAACACAAACACAGAAAGGCCAGAAACATTGGACCAGGGAGAAGAATTAATATGCAACATGGAAACAACCTTTTTGTGAATCTTAAACGTTCAACCCATCCAGCGACAGAAAGGCACTTGTTCCTGTCACTGTGCAGCCCAGCCTGCGGGCCCATGCAGGCACAGGGTGAAGCCAGAGCACATGGAGAAAACCCACACAACCATGTGGAGAACATGCACACTCCACACAGAAGCGCCACCCCCATGAAAATCAGTTCCCAGCAGCCAAGAGCTGTGTCGAAGCAGCACTAACATCCCGGTCACACATAATAAAAGTTTTAAAATATCTTTGGAAAAAAAAAGCTGCAAAGAATCACACCTTTCTGGAGAGCGTGCTGCAGCACAGAACAGGTGCTGGAGACTCTCTCCTCACAGGGGGGAGGCTTTACAGCCTGAGAGATGGAAGGGACTGGATTAGTGCAGCTTCATAATGAATCACTCTAATGGCGCAGGCCTGTGACACACCACAGAACACTGCCCACTGCCCACCGCCCACTGCCACACACTGCCCACTGCCACACACTGCCCACCACCACACACTGCCCACTGCCCAGTGCCCACCGCCACACACCACCCACTGCCCACCGCCCACTGCCTCACACTGCCCACTGCCACACACTACCCACTGCCCACCGCCCACTGCATCACACTGCCCACTGCAACACACTGCCCACTGCCACACACTGCCCACTGCCTCACACTGCCCACTGCCACACACTGCCCACTGCCACACACTGCCCACTGCCTCACACTGCCCACTGCCACACACTGCCCACTGCCTCACACTGCCCACTGCCACACACTGCCCACTGCCACACACTGCCCACTGCCACACACTGCCCACTGCCACACACTGCCCACTGCCACACACTGCCCACTGCAACACACTGCCCACCACCCAGTGCAACACACTGCCCACCACCCAGTGCAACACACTGCCCACTGCCACACACTGCCCACTGCAACACACTGCCCACCACCACACACTGCCCACCACCACACACTGCCCACCACCACACACTGCCCACTGCCCACTGCCTCACACTGCCCACTGCCCAGTGCCACACACTGCCCACCACCCAGTGCCACACACTGCCCACTGCAACCCCCTGCCCACTGTCCACCGCCCAGTGCCACACACTGCCCAGTGCCCACTGCCACACACTGCCCACTGCCACACACTGCCCACCACCCAGTGCCACACACTGCCCACTGCAACACACTGCCCACCACCCAGTGCCACACACTGCCCACTGCAACACACTGCCCACTGCCCACTGCCACACACCACACACTGCCCACTGCCCACTGCCACACACCACACACTGCCCACCGCCCACTGCCACACACTGCCCACTGCCACACACTGCCCACCACACAGTGCCACACACTGCCCACTGCAACACACTGCTTTCCACTTCCCAATGCCCACTTCCATTCCACTCCCCCATGCACACTGCCCACTGCGTTCCACTCCAGCTGTCCCGGTGGACAGCAGGACGGCGGGAATGACAGACAGAAAGAGGATGAGGATGAGGCCGGATGCGGCGCAGGGGTCAACCAGAGAGCGGGGCATCAGGCTCAGACAGCAGCTCTCCCCTCAGCGCACAGAGCCACTCAGCCGCACCCTGTGAAACACTGTGACAGCAGGAGCCCGCAGAGAGGAAGATGAACCCACCCGTGTGCTTTCTTGACTTACAGAGGCAATCGGCCCCGCCTGCTCCCCGCTCACCCGCTCGCTCCGCCACGGGCAGCGCTCTCCGCAGAGCGGCCGTGCTGACGTCACCGTGCTGCCGCGCGTCTCTCTCTCCGAGAGGGAGCCAGAGAAGGGGGGGGGACTGTCACGGCTGCTCTCTCTGTTTTTGTGAATGAAAGACGGCCGCCGCCGCTCGGCTCAATTCACAACGCGGACACGGCGCCTAATCCCACAGTCCGGCTGCAGGGCCGCCAGCGGCTGAGACTCCCATTCAGAAAAACAACCCCCCTGCAGCCACGCCCCCCCACAGACCCCGCCCACTGAGGACCCGGTCGGCAGCTGGATTTTACAAGCATTTTTTTCCCAAGTACAGCCAGCTCCCCTCTGAATTCCTTTCCTCTTTTCCTCCTCCTCCTCCTCCTCCTCTCCGACCCATTCAAGCGCCGCGCGACGGGAGCCGTGTCTTTATAGCGCCCCCCCCGGGGAGCGGGGGCTCGGCTCCGGCGACGCTGCGTGACAGAGCCCGGCTGGGGGGGAGTGTGCCTGGGCGGAGTGGGGGTCGCGCCGCCCAGGTCCAGCAATCACACGAAGTTGGGTGGGGTGGCAGTCTGCCTTGGCGTCACGAACTGGCCCCTGGAGCACGAGTGGGCCTGCCTGTGTCCTGATTCCCAGAGATTGCACCGTCCTTTATCACACCTCTATGTTTTAATCCATTTTACCCTGCTTTTACCATAGAATACAGTCTCTTTTGTCTTTGGGCAGCGCGGGGGAAGCGATCATGGAAGACTGACAGGCGTAAAATTAGCACTGAATCCAAGTCAAGGCATCTGACATTAAATCTGTTGTATTTACTTCAAATCCTAAAAGATCTGACCCAGCCAACGACGCAGTTGAAGGGGAATTCCCTAACTGCACCTTGGGATCCACCTGGATGTGGCTGCCAGGGATCCCAGGATGAGCCGGCGGGAATCTCGGGGGTGACCGCACGCGTTCTCCTGCCTGCGAGGCTGGGAGTGAACAGGGGCTCAGGCTTGTACCCCGAGCGACGTGCGTTAGACCCCGACTCCTCGTCGGGGTGCGTTACTGGAGCAGTCTGAGGGAGAACCCGCGATCTTTCAGTCACGACTTGACTTGTGATTTAAGCTGGTTAAATATCTATCTCGCCCCCACACGCACACGGTGCAGCTCCCTGGTCTTCAGGAACAGGTTTCCCTGCGCTTCCGTCTGGAGCGCGACTCCCGGCTTCCTCGCGCTCTGACACGCGGGTGAAACACGTTTCAGCTCCAGAAATAGCCTCGCGAGGACAGGGCTGCCCGCGGAACCTTCCTTACGCAAAGCAAAGCCCGTGTGAACCGAGCGCCGGTACCCCTCTCACAGGCTCGGTTCCGTGACAGAACCCGCCGACGCCTGAACTGAGCGCCGGTACCCCTCTCACAGGCTCGGTTCGGTGAGCGAACAGTTGCCACAAAAGACACTGAAATATAATAATAGTTATAAACCTGTAGATTCTCCTCAAGACGTCTCAGTCTATAATACCGGGAAAACGATGGTTTCAGGCGGTTAAAAATATCCTATTGATAAACGAAACCAGATCGGGGACCCCTGATTCCCGTCTTGGCAATAGGAACCCCGGAGGGCGTGATCGTGCTGACTGCGAGAACGAGACGGTTCGGGTAGGAGCCAGAGGGACGGCAGCGATATCAGTGACGACTGGACCCGACCGGAAACCGACAACACCCCCAGGATTCCCTCCCGAGCAAGCCCGGCGCAGGCGCGCGCTCAGCGCTCCGGGGGGCGGCGGAGCCCGGCTGAGTCGAACCGGGGCTTCTGTCTGCCCGAACGAGCCCGGGACCTGGCGGCGCGACACACGGACGGACCGATTCACAGCGTGGGACCTTCAGAACCAACCAAACCCAAAAAGCCAACCGGTGCCGCAGGCGTCCTCCCGGGTCCCTTCACAACATTTCTTTGCTAATAATAACATGTATAATACTACGCCCCCCCCTACGTACACTAACGCTAAAAGAAACCACATCGCCATGTCCCTGGACCCGGAGTTCGCGCATAATTCTGCATCTCACTTCATACACGCATAACAATATTGGGATCAGATCAGGTGTTTTCGAGTCAGAGTACTTAAATACGAAATAATTAAGGTCAATGAGGCAAAGTACATCAGCGATGGAGCCGACCGTCGAAATCCCCCGTCCTGTGAACAGCGCGCAGGAGCGGCTGTGATTCTCCTGCTGGGCTGGACTTCAGCGCTGTGGACCGCTCAGCCCGGTACAGCCCGTCTGTTACAGACAAACACTCACATCGCGCCGCGCAAGAGAGGACAAATAGGGCTGAAAGTCTGAAGAAAACACAAGCGACGGTCAGCGATTTCCTTTCTGCTTTCGAGCAATTAACCCCGGCCGGGCGAGTTTATGTAATGGACAGCCAGGGGCTGCGGGCGAGATATAAAACCCCAGCCGCCCGGGTCTCACCTCCGACACACAGCAGTGACATCGCCTGTTCCTCCGCTGATCGCAGCCGGCTGTCCGCTCCAGGGGCTCCAGGGGCTCCCCGCTTCGGTCGGGAGTCCAGTTGGTAGGGATTTCTTGAGAGGGCGTGTGTTTTAAAGCCCTGTAATGTATTTATATACACGGATGCCCAGTTATTGCAACAGTGTCCGAGTCCGAGTCCGAGCAGCGTCGAGATTTATGCAGCCTCTCGCCTCTCGCTCTCTCTCTCTCGCTGTTTCGATTCCTCGCTCTCAGTCTCAGCCTCTCTCTCTCTCTCTCTCGCCTCAGCTCGCCGCTCTCCGGCTCACAGCCATCTTGTTCAGCACCGCCAGCTCGGAGGACAGCTCCTGACGTGACGTCACGCCGCGCTGATGAGAGGCAGCAGGCGGCGCGGGACAGCTGACCCGGGCTCGCGGCGCCGAGCACTTGCGCTTCTTAAAGGCGCAGGCTGTTAAAAAGAGGTGCAAGCAAATACCTGAATTAAATGACTAAAACCACCATTGATTAATATAAAAACCGGTGCACCGCTTTCTCGTAAAATATCGAATCCACTGATTTATAAAGCAGCATTACCACCTTGTGATGGAGCTATGCCCGGCCGGGCTGGGGTCAGTGCTGGGGTGGGAGAGTCTAAGGAAAACCAGGTTGCAGCAGTAAGTAGCGCTGGTGGACCAGTAGGTGGCGCTGTTCCCTCTCGACCAGCTTTTACCTTCAGAATTTGCACCAGTATTGTGACTGATGAGACTGCAGTACTCAGATGGGAAATGACACTGAGGTTCTATCTGGTCACCACTGATCCCATAGCTGGATGTAAAAGACAAGTGTTAACCCTTGTGTTCTGGCTAACCTGAACAATCTGGCCCCCTGAACTCTAGTGGTGAAACAGCTGGGCACACGCCCACACTAATGCACTATTGCACATGTCCTCTGTGCTGTAGAGGGGCTGGAGCTCGTGATTAGCAGTGAAGACACCGGCCATCCAAGCAGCAGAAGCAGTGTGACGTCAGTATCGTGGCTGGCTGTGACATCCCCACTGAAGGAAATTAGACACATCAGCTTTGATCTCTTCAAAGATCTTTCTTTTTATATATTATACACACATACACAGAGTCACTTTTAGTGTGTGTCAGCAGCGTTCTGAATCCATGAGTAAGAGGATTTACCTTTGGAAAGGAATTCTGGTGCATAAAGCGTTGTCAGTATTTCACTATATAAATAAAACTGTCAGATCTGGTCCAGATGTCCGGCGTGTAAGATCCGCAAGGCCAATTAATAGTCTGGTGACTCACCGAGCTTCCCGGAGATGCGGCACTTATAATTCAAGATGGGGGGGGGGGGGGTGAGTAAGAGGAAACAGGGAGCAGGGAGAAAGGGGAAAAGCACAAGACAGAGCAGCCAAAAGGAAAGATTTTCTTTTTCTAGCTATTTCACCAAGCACCCAAGACCTGCAGGAGGTGAACCCTGGAGTTGGCAGAGGTGCTGTGCATTGGGAGCCTGATCTCCAGCCCTGAAATGGGACGAAATACAACTACAGGAGCTCACTGGAGGAAAAACAAATTGAGACATTTTCATTAAATTACATTTTCTGGATGGGAGCTGTCGAAGGTTCGGCGGCCATTTCTATGTAAAACTCACAGTAATCACAGGGGCTGCTCTGATTGGCTGGCGTGGCCATGGTGGGTGGGCTTTCCTTTGTGAGAGTCCGATCTAATGGCTTCCCAGGGCTGTCAGTCATACCCTGAGCACCATCCCACTGGTGATCAAGAATTCTCTGGTGTTGAGCCCACTGCGCACACACCTCCCTGTTCAGGGGTCCCAAGGGTCATTCCAGCAGAGCTGGACTATTGACTATTGACTATCGATAGTCAATTACAGATTAAGCATGAAACGAAAAACGTGGACTTTGTTATACGTGCCTACTACACTATAGTACTTTGCTGAGGTATTTTGTGGTTCCAGTGTCTCTTATATATTAAAGCTCAACCATGATTCTTATCCTTGAGGCCCCATTTTTTGTGTACTGTTCTGGTTTGTTCTTTGTGTGTTCTGGACTGTAACTCTTCTTAGTGCACTTCTCATTGTACTGATTGTATTGTATGTATTGTATTATTATTATTATTGTATCATTCGTTACTGTGACTGTGTTGTCTGTGTTAAGCTGCTGTTGCACTGCAATTTCCCTCACGGGATCAATAAAGTATCTATCATGTCTTTTGTTACTTTGATCAAGCTTAATTAACCACAATCATTTCCTGAAGTAGGTCTGGGTAGGCCACTTCATACCGTCCACAGCTCTGAAACTGGTGGAGATTTCAATCTGCCAGGAATGCTAAATAGTTATTTAAGCTGTGCCATTTTGCCAAGAGCCAATAATAAACAAATGTCAGAGTCACAGAGAGCAGGAGAGCGGCCTGCGCAGGCGGGTTCCTCGTGGGGTCCCCCTGCAGGACCTCGGGGCCTCGCCCTCACTGGGGCACCCTGACCAGAGCACACCAGGCCCAGAGGGACAGACAGCGTCTCTCCCTCCTGCACACACACACCACACCTGCTGGCGAATGCCTGCACTGCCGGCTGCTTCTCACAATAGGCTGCAAGCAGCTGTGCATGCAGACCTGTGGGACTGTGCCTCAGGTGCACCCCCAAACTAGGAGGCCCTCTGACCCGGTCCATGTCTTGTGCAGCTACCCTGCACACCCACAGCAGGAAAGAACAGTCCAGCATCCCTCCACAAGTCACCTCCTCCTCCAGGAGCAGCAAGCTCACACACAGCTGCCTGGCCGAAACGACGTCCTCCCCTCTCGCACACTTGAAGATGCACAGCTGCCGCTGGGCTGGGCTGATCTGGTCGGTGAGAGGGGTGAGGGCTCCCCCTGGTGGCCACTATCAGGAAGCACTCGACTTCAGAGTCAGTCATTAAATGTATTTAATTTTCATCAGAATTTATTTTACACCGCTTGATTTCGGATGGTCACCCATTTATAAAGGTTTAAACAAAACAAAAAGACATGCAAGCGTTTACCGTTATATTGGACGAACGCCCCCTCCTCCCCTTACCACTTGCACCACAATGTGAGGTAAATCCACCCACACCAACAGAAATTAAAAACCTAATGCATATCGAGGCCTGGGACGTCCCTTCTGTATAGGAAGCGCTCGTCGTCTCCTCGCTCTTGAAAGCCTGCAGCCCAGCTGGACTGACAGCAGCGCTCCCAGCACACACACACCGTCCTCCAGCCTGCTGGGCGAGTCTGCACAAGCCTCCTCCTGCCCCCAGGTCTCCCCCCTTGCCCCCCCACAATACCCCCTGGAGTAAAACAGCAGCTCGCTGGGTCTCAGCTCTGCCCGTGACGCCTCCCTCTCTCGCAGCTGCTGGGGCGGACAGCCCGGTGCAGAGAGGGAGGGAGGGACAGGGGTGGAACTGGACAGCAGCGTGCATGACCCCCCCCACCCACCACCCACCCCCCCGCAGAGTTCCAGCTGCCCTGGTGCTGCACTGATCGCCCCCCCTCCCCCCGGCGAGGGCCCGTCAGACCCTACTCTCCACCCTGGGGATCCTCCGTTCCCCTGGAGACCCCCGGCCCCAGGAGGCGGGGGGCGTGTGGTGGGTCGCTCCGGCCTCTCCACTGCGGCGGGTCAGGCTGGCTCTCGGCGGCGCCCAGCCGGTCGGCGCTACTCACAGCTTCTCACTGAGGGCACAGACAGGGCAGGAGGTGATGGGCCGGGGGGTGGGGGGGGGTTTCGGGGGTGTGGGCTATCGGCCTCGCTCTCACCTGTCGAAATGCGCCAGGATGTCCTGCAGCTGGGCGATGAGGGTCCGGTGCTCGTGGGGGCTGCTCTCCAGCACGCTGCACAGCCGGCTCATGTACGCATCGAGCGTCCCGAAAGAGGGGGTCTCCCCTGAGCCTGGGGGGGTGGGGTGGGGAGGGAGAAGGTCAGAGGGGGAGCCAGGCCACGCGCACCGACCCGACCCCGGCGGCGGGGCGGGGGGGGGCGGACCGACCTGGCAGGGGCACGGCGGCCAGGCTGGCGGCCAGCGTGTGCTTGATGGCCAGCAGGTGTCGCTGCAGGGCCTGCGTGCGCCTCTCGTCCTGCCCCAGCTCCGCCTCCAGCCGCTCCTTGGCGCCGTGCATGTCGGCGATGTGCTTCTGCAGCGCCGTGTTCTGCTCCTCGAACTCCATGTTCGCCTTCCGCAGGCGCCGCAGCTCCGCCTCGCGGGCTGGGGGGGGGACAGAGACACAGACTCCCGCTGCTTAGCAGGCTGATCCGATCCGGGTTTTACCAGCTACCAACGAAGCTGCAACATGACGGGTTTATTTGAACTCCATGCAGATCCAGTCACAGTGTGGTAACAAGCAGGAAGCTCCCCGCAGATAGCAATGTGTTGGAATGTGTGACAATTATAATTGTAATTATATTCTCAATTATAATTATATAATTGTAATTATAATTGTAATCTCAATAATAATTCCTTCACTCTCTGTGCTCTCAGCTTTGCTAGTCCACAGGAACCATACCTTTGTTCTGGTCCAGAAACTCCTCTGTAAATATCGGCACATCAAACTTCCAGAACCTGTCGGACAGCTCCGCGCCCTGAAGGACAGAGGAAACTGGCTCAGTCTCCCTCCTTCTCTCCCCACCACCTCCCCCTCTGTGTTGCCCTCTCTGGGTCCCCACCTCCTTCATATTCACCTTGTGCCCTGCGGGTCCAGAGCCTGTGGCGTTGATGATTACAGATGCTGACTCTTCTGGAAAAGACAAGTAGACAGAGGGAAGCAACTCGTTTTCCCAGCTCCCGCTGAGCTCCGGGCCCAAGCCAGGTGACCCGGCCGGACAGGAGGAGGAATATCACGAGCCAGCCCTGCAGGGATAGCCACCGACCTCGTTTGACCTTCTTGTCCTGGATCTTGGCAGCGCTGAGCCGGAACGCCTCGCTCTGCTGGTACTCCTTCAGCTCCCGGACGTACTGCTGCTTCTCCCGCTCAGCCTCGTCCAGGTACCGCTGGACACAGAGGGAACGCAAATCCAAGTCAACCAAACCACAGTACTTCACCCACTGGGACACGCAATACAAACAGGGACGCTACAGACAATACACACTGAGCAGGGTGAGACACCCAAGAAGCAACAGACCCTGACCGCAGCCTGGCCATAGAAGCTGGGCGACACAGGCAGACCTGGCTGCCCAGAGAGGACAGGCTGTGCTCCTACTGCCAGCGGGGAGAAACGGAGACAGAGGTGGACTTCCTACTGCACTGTGACAAATATGCTGGGATTTGAGAAACATTCTTCCCTAAATTCAGAAATCTAATCCCAGAGTTCCCACACCTGCCAGAATCACAATGGGTCCCAATCCTACTGGGAGAGGGAGGAGGGAGCTCAGTTGAACTGGCAGCAGAGTATGTGGTCTCCTGTCACAGCCTGAGGTACACTGGGCCTGTCTCCCAATGATGTTTTATGGGTTGTATGTAAATGTCTGTAGATGTTGTATTTTCTGTATATGCTTTGGCAACACTGAAATTCAGCAGTCATGCCAATAAAGCTGTCTGAATTGAAATGAAACTGATCAGAGACAGCACAGAGCGCAGACAGAGACAGCACAGAGAGACAGAGGCAGCACAGAGCGCAGACAGTGAAAGCCAGAGTGCAGAAACACCAGAAAAGCACTACGAGAATTATCAAACCAAAAACACAATGCAGTGAGATGGTAAAACACTACAAACACACTCTCAAGAACAAAACTCTCAGAAATCAAGGAGTCAATAAATCAAAATTATTTCTGGAAAAAATGAAATAATTTAAATAAATCAAGACAAGAAGAATTAGCCATCAGTTGGATCAGTCAGAAAAACCTATCTTATGAAAAAATAGAAAATATCCGAATTGGCTAGAAAAGACAACCAAAACCCCTTAGGCTCCCTGATCACAGAACAGGAGCTGCTCCAAGACAAACTCCAGACCCTCAGACCACGAAAGGCCTGTGGCCGAGACGAAGTGGACAATGAGATGCTGAGACACAGCAGCTCGAAGCTGCAGCAGGCCCTGTTCAAACTCTCCAAACTCGTCCTGAGAGCTGGCTGGTTCCCTCAGCCCAAGAATCAACAGCTGATCACATCCACCTAAGAGTGGAGACAGACTTGACCCTAATGACTGGAGCACTGAAGTAACCTGGGAAAGGTAGGGTGTAATACCATGAATACCTGACTGTCTGCTTTATTGATTGCAAAAAAGCTTTTGACTTAATTTGGCACAAAGGATTGTTTTACAAACTTCTTCAAAGGGGTGTAGGATATCAACTCTACGACGTAATTAAGTCGATATACTCAGAGAACAAGTGCGCAGTGAAAATCAGAAACAAAAGGACAGAATTCATCACTCAGGGTCGTGGGGGTCAGACAGGGCTGCAGCCTGAGCCCAACACTGTTCAGTATCTATATCAATGAGATGGCAGAGATATCGGTACAGTCTGCAGCGCCTGGTCTCACACTACATGACACACAGCTCAAGTTCCTGCTCTACATTGATGACCTGGTCCTGCTGCTGCCCAAAGAACAGGACTTGCAGCAGAACCTGGCACTGCTGGAGCAGTACCGATAGACCTTCGTCTTCGTGACAAGCAATCTGGACAAGACCAGAATCATGGTTTTCTACAAGAAGGCTCTACATCAGCTCCCCTATAAAGATTTTGCTGCAAATATTCAAAAGTGTAATCCAACCAATTGTAATACAAGGCAGTGAGGTGTAGGGTCTCCTCATAGACCAGGAATACACTTAATGGGACAAACACCCCATAGAAACTCTGCACATGGAGATCTGTAGAAACATCATCCATGTGCAGAGAAAAAAAAAGAGTAATAAAGTATTGGTAATACTTAAAAAGCAGCAACCAAAACCCCTACCACCACAAGGCCCTGCTGAGCCAAGAGCTGAGCCCAACAAAGAGCCTCCTGAGCCAGCTGGTCCTGAGGCTCACTGGCCTGAGCCACACCGACACCAGCCAGCCTCAGGACAGCACTGCTAGAGCATCACAACTCAGACCCAAGCACATCACAGCACAGATCAAACAGCAATATCTCACACACTGGGACACTCGCACACAAACTGGAATGCTACAGAATCCAAAATAGACAATACATGCTACCTGAATATTTGACCAACATAAGTAATGGCAAAATGAAACAGACCCTGACGAAGTACAGGCTCAGTGACCACATCCTGGCCATAGAAACTGGGTGACACAGGCAGAACTGGCTGCCCAGAGAGGACAGGCTGTGCTCCTACTGCCAGCGGGGAGAAACAGAGACAGAGATGCACTTCCAACTGCACTGTGACAGATACTCTGGGATTAGAGAAACATTCTTCCCTAAATTTACAAATCTAATCCCAAAATTCTCATAACTGCCACAATCACAACAACTCCCGATCCTACTGGGAGAGGGAGGAGGGAACTCAGTTGAACTGGAAGACCAGTGTGTGATCTCGTCACACCCTGAGGAACAGTGAGCCTGTCTCCCAATAATGCTCCATATATTTATATGTAAATATATTATGATTGTATCTGCATTGGAAATGTCTGTAATTGTCTGTAGACTTTATGTTAATTTTATTTTGCTTTGGCTACACTGATTTTAGTCATTGGTCATGCCAACAAAGCATCTTGAAT